TTTTTTTTTTTTTTTTGCAAGTGCCTTTGTTTTTGTTTTGCCTGATCAATAAACAAATCAATAGTTATTAATAATGCAAGCAGTGTGGAGAAAGCATTTGTGCAGGTATCCTAAACAAAGTTGCTCTTATGGTTTTCTCAACGTTTTTCAGTTGTCAGAGTTTATTATCAGATTCATATTTGGGAGAATGTCTAGTGCAAGGCATAAGGCCAGTTCATTAATGAAGTGTGTTTTTTGAAGGAAAGCCAGAGCACTTTTAGTGTAGTGCAGTGTGCATAAATCAGCTTACGTACTGACTATCCTAGAGAAATAAGGAAGGAAATAAATGAGCTGCTTCATTTTTCAGGCCGACTGGAAGGCAATTAACTTCAAGCTCCTAAATGAGAATGTATATTTTAACCTTGAGTAGTGCTAGTGATAATTTCCTGAACAGACGTCCGATTTAATGCTATTATATTCAGCTGTGAAAAGCTTCACTGTATGACCCAGCAAGTCTTATTGTTTGCAGAGGATGTTACAATTAGTTTTAGGCCATCAATTTGAGTTGAATTACTGAAATGAACTTTTCCACGACATTCTAATTTATTGAGATGCACCTGTATGTAATGACATTATCAGTGATCGTGCTTATGGGAAACAATTAAGAGCTGCTAAGATTTAAATAAATGTACTGGTGTTTTTCAGAGTATAATTTTAGATCTTTCAATTCTATGACAATGTGCAAAAAGTCGATGCGATTGAATTAACGGTTGCATTTTTAGTGGCAACATCTTTCACATTTTCACCGGTTGTTCAATGAATCCCACTGCAGAACCCGAAATGTCGCCTTTTAAATGTTTTCTCACCTTTGTTCTTCTGCTTCACTTGCTTCTCATCAGTCTGGAAATGGATTGGGAGTCTCTGCTCAAATCAGAGGCTGAGAAAACCTCTTTCCAGTAGCACAGACACCACTGCGGCTGGCATGACCTCATAGTCAAATTAACTTATGAACAGACTGCATTCTAGCAGTGGCCATTATAAATCATCAAGCGCTGACTTCCTCCTTCCTGTCTTCATCTCTGGTCTCTGTTTCCCTTTATCTTCATCTCTCTCACTCATTTTCAGCACAATAACCAGAGACCTCGGGAGAGCGAGATTAACGTCATAGCTTGTCCCACTTTAGATCCTGAGGAGAGAAGCTGGATGAAACAATTGTGCTGTTTTGTCTGTATTTGTGACCAAAAGACTGAATTAATAATGAAGAGTTGAGTGTGTTACACTGTGGACTCTCTTGCAGATTTAAAACATCATGCAGATGGGATCGGTAACAGTTATTTCCAGCCAGAGAGGTTGCATTTAAATGCACGTTACAACATGGGACCACTCTTGAGGTCACTGGTTTAGCTTGGTTATTTTGCGGCTGCTAATAGGTTAATTGAATTCATGAAGTGGATATGAGGTCATTCTGATGATCTGACCTAGTGTTAATCGCGGAGTAATTGAAGGGTAATGATGGAGGCAGAGCTCAGAGGCTTCTCTCCAACTCATGAATTATTGACAGACCAAAAAGTCCAGATTACTTAAACCTAATATTACAATTAGTGCCACGTTTGCCGTTGACTGCACGGTTAATTTTTTTTTATAAAAAAATAAATAAAACCAAGATTATTGGGGTAGATTTGACTAAATTTCACATTTAATTTGATGCATTACTTGCCGTTTCATAATTATCTGTGAAATGTACTTGCAATTTCTGAGTGAAAATAGTTTCAAAGTAATTCCATTTTTTTCTGTGGGCATGCAATTTTGATGCAGTTTTGCAATCATGCAGCAAATATGTAATTATGCAGTAATTGCATGTATACAAATTATATATACATATTACATATACATGAATTACATGTACAAATATGTAATTATGAAAATATGTAAATATGTAATTACATATAATTATGTAATTATAAATATAATTATTAAAAAATTATTCTATGATGATGCAGATCGTGTGTGTGTATTTATACTGTATATATACATTGGAATATATACACAAACTTTGTAGAGTTGTGAATTGGTAGAGTTTGTACATTTCTGAAGGAAGTCTCTTGTGCTCAATTAGGCTGTATTTATTTTATCAAAAATACGGTAAAAACAATTATTATTATATTATTGCAATTTAAAATAACTTCCAATTCGATAGATAGATTAGGATAATCTTGTACCATATTGATATAAAAATAAGAAAATATATTCAATTTATGAAGTGCCTTAAACATGTTAGGTCAAAGTTTCCCAAAGCCTTTGAGTTTAATAAAAAGCTAATAATGAATTAAATAATAAATGTTAAATTAAAACAATTTTAAAATGAATCAAAATAAAACACTGTTTTTAGGTTAAAGTATACAGTGAAATATATAGTACAGAATCAACAGCTATTGGGATATTTCTCTGTGCATATAATGAGCATATTCTGACTAATTCTCTGCTATTTAAGTGTGGGGAATTATGAAATATATAGGTCATAACTATCGTTGCTACAAAAAATAATGTTTCTTGAATTGCTATTTTGAGCTTGTAGGGATGCAGGTTTGAATCTGATCTGTATAGCATTTTGATCCCAATCCCCCATCTTTGTGTCATTCTTGACTTACCTATAAAAAAAAGTTAAAAAATATGAAAAATCATTAAATGGTAGGCAAGGGCATTGAAATAATCAAATAAGGCATCCCATGTTTTCATTTCCAGTTCATTTTTTCCACCACGTTTCCGCCATCTCTAGAGTGCCACTGTTTTAGAAAAGAGCCCAGCTGTTTGATACAGAAATATCAATCCTACCTATCCTTTGATCATAACGCTGTAATTTGGTTTTTGGTGGTTGACAGTCTATTTGTAGCCTTTGCAAATCACACTTATTCAAAGCAGCTGTTTTGCATGAGCTTTTGTTATTGCATTTGATGCCATTAATGCAAACTGGCAACTCCCTGCGCAAGGTTTTCTAGATGAACCTTCAAGCTTCATTTGTCCTGCCTGATTCAGGATGTGCTCATGGACCTGTCACAAATTGAGATCCTTTAACAGAAGGCTGGGCATTAGTTTCCAGTTAAAGGGCAGCGACTGGTGTTTTTCAGCATGTGTGTGTGTGTGTCATGAGACACCTGCAGGAATGACTCCTCCTGTGTGGCACTGAACACAAAGCCAGATAATGTCACATAACAAAGAGATTCATTCTAACTCACTCACAAGCACTGGCCTTTACTGTATATACAGACTCGTCTGTAGTGTGCTTTCATGCAGATTGAGCAGGGTGATTGTGTAGATGGAGAGATAAAAGCATCTGATTGCTTATTTTTACCTTACATTTTGCAAGGAGTCCCCTTCCCTCATGAATCAAATTGTGCGTGATTCATTAGTCATTCAACCGTGCGCTAGTTTGAGTAAAAGGCTCCTTTAGTCACATTATATCAGCCTCAAGAGTGGCTGGACAGATTTTACTTTTAATTTCCCAGAAGTGATAAAATGGTTCAAATAGGTTAGAGGGGCATAAATGAAAGGTTTCCTCTTGCACGGTTTATTTCACACCTTTATGCTCTTTTTGTGTATAATCTCCATGTACACTGTAAAAATTGTTTAAATATTTTTTTTCATATAATTATAATCAATATTTTAACTCTTTGAAATATTAAATGCTTTTTCACTTGAAGTGAAATTGTATATCATGATAATACATTTATTTTTTATAGTTTTAAACTTGGCTTTAGTAAGGTTTATGATTCAAACATGAAAAAAATAAAATAAAATGAGAAATATATGCATTATATACACGCTACTGTGCATATTAGAATAATTTCTTAAGTATCATGTGACTGAAAACTGGAGCAATAAAAAAAAAATATTAAAATAAATTATTTTTTAAATATAGTATAAATAGTATACAGTAATGTGTACATATATATATATCATTAGAAAAAATATTTTTTAAATGTAAAATAGATGTAATGTATAGATATATAGAAGGTGTGAAAACTGTGTAATATATGATATATAAAGGCGTCTTAAATTTAAAATACAGTATCATTTTACATTAAAGTATACAGTAAAAAAATAGGATTTTCACTTTTTCTTTTCCCTTTTCATTTATTCAACAGTCAAGTTTTTTTTGTCTTTTTATCTGTCATATTCTGTGTCCTATGTATAATTAATAATAATAATAATAATTTAAGATCTTTTAATAAAAGTTTGGATTACTGAAAGAAAATTAAATAATGATAATAAAATACATTATCCTGAAATTAGGTCGTTTCTTTTCTTTTTTTTTTTGTGCTAAGTTTGTATATATCAATATAAATATGCATCTTCTCACAGACAAGTATATTGTTATGAATGCTTAGATTTTTTTTTTTTGGCAACAATAGTGATTATGAAAGTGATTTTTCTTTTCTTATTTTATTTTGTTTTATTTATTTTTTGCACCATATATGCGTATTATACACAAAAAAATAGTATAACTCCACACTCCTGGATCTTCTCTTTCTATATTTCATCCGCCACTTTCAAGGAGAGAGCGTAGGGAGGGATAAACGGAAAGCTTTCCCTGTGCCACCATACAAATGCTGCATAACAATGCACTAATTAGCATAACATATAGTTCTCATTCTTATTACTCACGTCCACCAAACCAACAGCAAGAAGCCTTTAATGGTGCTGTAGAACAGCTCTCTGCGTTTTACTCTGCCTGACTGAATCTCTCCTCCTGTTCTGACAGATCCTGCCAATCGCCGACAAAATTATGGACACATTTCATCTGGCACCAGGGGAATGCAGAGTGGAAATCAGGATGAAGACAATAAAGGAATGGTCAGAGAACGAAGGGAAGGGAGGAGAAGAGGAGAGTGAAGAAAAAGAGGCAGGGAGCTAGAAGAAAAAGGGTGATGTCACTGGCTCTTGATGGCAGCCAATCAGAAACGGGGAGAGGCAGCGAGGGAGCCAGGAGAGGGTGTGTCTTCCTCGCACTGCAGCATCAGCAGTGAAGAGAGGCCACAATCAATCTGACACAGAGCAGGAGACACAAGAACCTTCAGGGACAGATAAAACAACAGAGTTGCCAGAGGAGGACGGAAACCCGAAGCCCGCCGTTTCTGAACTGCAGAGGTGAGTGGAGAAGGCTGTCAGTGATGGTGTCAATAGTATTTAGTATTTAGTGTCTGATGGATGTCAAGCAGAATTGGCTTGTTTTTGCTGATTTTTCTTGTGGTTTGATGATCACACCTTTGAGACTTAAGGTGCAATGATGTAGCAGTGAGGCTGCTGTGTGGTCTTGCAAACTGGAGCTTGTACCATTCAAAATAATCGCATTGTATTTATCATTTATGCATTTTTTTTATTCATTCCTATAGTGTTGCATTTAGACCTTTAAGTATGAAAAAAGCAAATAATATTTTGTTTAAACTTCAGTGTGTTAAATGAGATGCTAAATAAACAAAATATTATTTGCTTTTTTCTTGTGGTTTGATGATCACACCTTTGAGACTTAAGGTGCAATGATGTAGCAGTGAGGCTGCTGTGTGGTCTTGCAAACTGGAGCTTGTACCATTCAAAATAATCGCATTGTATTTATCATTTATGCATTTTTTTATTCATTCCTATAGTGTTGCATTTAGACCTTTAAGTATGAAAAAAGCAAATAATATTTTGTTTAAACTTCAGTGTGTTAAATGAGATGCTAAATGCGTTTTGATTATTTTTAGTTAAATTTTTTTAAAAGATTTCTTTTTTTGTGTGATGTCACATTGTCTCACTCCTTGAGTTGCCCTGTCTCGTAAACAGAAACAGTTCTCTGGTGGATTTGCGCACATCCCGTGTGAAATCAGCAACAGGCTCTTCTGTTTTCATCTTTAATGCAGGACTTCGAGTATTAGTGCTGGTTTGGTTGCATTTTACAGCCTCGTATTGACCTAGACCTAATGCCAACATTTGTTGTATTTAATAAGATTTACTTATAGCTGGCTGTTGTTTCATTTGGAGCAGTTGCTCTAGTGTTGCAAAAATGCATTAATGTTTGAAAGTGCACGTTTTGTTAGCACTGTGATGTTGTTAATAATTTTTGTTTTATCTATGGTTGGTCCTCCCTCCCCCTCGTTTTGCTGGGCCGTGTAATTGTGTTAATCACCCATGAGAGTATTGTGGTGTTGAGAGTACTGGTGGTCCGCAGTGCTGCCCCTCACAGTGGTGTGTTGGTGTGTGCTGTACTGAAAACAAATAATGACACTTTGATGGGGCAGGCGGCAATAGCAAATATATGAGTGTGAGAGCATTGGGTGGGGTCTGCATTTATTTTCAGTCTCTTAAATGCAGACACACTCACCTGGCGGCGCGCCAGCATGTTTGATTCAGGGTGGGTCTCACAGCACTCAGGTTGCAAATTATTAGCACTGTTAGCAAAGTTTAGGGTGTATCGCACTATATAAATCTATATAAAATATATGAAATTCAACAAAAAAACTAAAATGTAGTATCATGGTGCAGTGATTATATTAATTTATATATTATAGGGTTTTCATGGCTTCCATATACATTTTTAAATACATTTTCATTTCATTTCCTTTGATTTTATTACACAAAAGTACTGTGGTAGTACTTTTGGTACAGTGATCATATTTATATTATAGGCATATTATAATATTCATATCCATGGTATTTTCGTGGTATTCCAAGTACTTTAAAGAATAGCATTATTTTACCATAAAATTAAACATTCAATTTGAATTTTACAATATAAGTGCTGTGGTAGTACCATGTCACAGTGATTATTATAATCATTAACCATGGGATTTACATGATGCTCCAAGGTACTTTACAAATGGCATCATAATACCAGGGGCGCTGCTAGGGTTTCTGGGCCCCCCGGACAGCATATTCACTTGGGCCCCCTGCTTTCCCGGGAGGGGGGGGACATGCTCCCCCTCTGTACAGATCATGTTCCCCTCGGTAAATCGCGTTCCGGGGAGGGGGTCCCCCCTCGGTAGAAATCGCGATCGCGTTCCCCTCGGTAGAAATCGCGTTTCCCCCTCGGCGGCCCCCCTCCATCATCGGGCTCTTAGAATCGTCCTAACCTCCCCCCCCCCCATTTACGGCGCCCCTGCAAAATTTTTAATTTTCTCTTACATAAAAGTACTGTGGAAGTACATTGGAACTTTAAAGAATACCATAAAATCATAAAACATGTTGTTACCATGGCACAATTCAAAACCATTGTATTTATGTGGTATTTTTTAGCTACTCTAAATAATACAATCCTAATATTATGATTTTGTTGTGTAATTACAGATTTTCATTTATCCTTACAAATGTATGGTGGAAGTACCATGGTACACTACAGTATTTAATTTATATTCATAAATCATTATATTTACGTCACCCCAAGGTACTAATAAAAACATAATACCATAATATTGTTGTCAAATTTTCATTTAGCCTAAAAAAAAAGTACTGTGGAAATACCATGGTACAATGATTATCATATCACATGAATTGTATTTTCATGGTAGTCTAACGAATACCATAGTACTATGAAACATGTTTTTACCATGGTACAATGATTATCATATTCAAAGCAATGGTATTTATGTGGTATTCCAAAATAATCCAAAGAATACCATAAAAATTCCATGATTTTATTGTATAATTAAACGTTTTCATTTACTTTTACAAAAACGTACTGTGCCAGTACTAGTTTAGAGTGATTATGTTATGTTGTTATGTTATAATTATATATATTATATATTACAATTACTATTGAATTTTTTGTAAATTTTGTATAGAGCTGTTTATGGAATAATGATTGCGATGTTTAAAACCATGGTATTTATGTGGTGTTTCAAGGTAATTCAAAAGATCCCGTGCTTATACCGTGATTTTGTAGCCTCAGTTTATCTCCCTGCAAAGGAATTTTGACTAGTTGCCTGTCGCTGACTGACAATGACTTGTGTCTTTCTAGGATAAATCACTTAGAATTGATTATTGACAAGGTGTCTGTAGACGGCTCACAGGTGCTTGGGCCGTGAGAGTGCGGAGTGATATCCATTCTGTGCTCCACATCCATCATACTGTAGGTTCTCTTGCTTTTACTGTACCATAGAAACAGCATGTGTGCACGGAAAAATATGATCTGCCTCTGCAAAATCTTCTCCTGAGAGGCAGAGGCTTTAATTGAGCTGTGTGCACAGATGGATGGATGGGCTGGAGAGATTTAGGAGGGATGAAAGAAAGGAAAGAGGGTGGGGTCACGTTTGACAGGCGAAGCCGTTGTGCAGGCCGATAATATATGTGCACTTATGTTGTCTGAGGAGATCAACAGGGAGAGAGAGAGAGAATGGGTGCAAGGTCAACAAGGAAGGGACCGGAACGGGGAGGGGTCAATTAAAAGAAGGAGTGAGAAAAAGAGCCATCACTCTTTTTTTGATGGCATATGTTTTGACATCTGAAACACTTTTAAAATAAATTGAAATAGAAACCGGTTCTTTTAAATTGTTATAATATTTCACAACATTATTGCTTTTACTGTATCTTTGATTAAAAATCAATGCAGCCTTAAGCATAAGAGGCTTTTTTTTTTTTTTACAAAATGTATTAAACATCCGTATTAATATAGCAGCATGTAAGAATAACACTATAAACGCAGCTCTCAGATGCAGAGCATCTGTTGTGAATGTGCCGGTTACAGAGGAGCTCTTGGGACTTTGGGAGAAACAACACAGCCCGCGAGTCTCCACAGCCACCTGTTATCGCCTCAGGGCCTTGGTGTCGCTGGCACATCCTGCTCCCAAAAAATCCCCCAATAACACCTGTTTTAAGTACCCATGCAGTAGTGAAAGCTTTACAGCCTACTGCTGCCACTCTGCTGATGGGGGTCAACCTCCAAAGAGAGACAGACACATTAGGTAAAACCATTTGTAGAGGCTGGCGAGGCTGCGGTTGGAGCAGCTCTCTGCAGACAGGAGGGGGATGACAGTGGCAGGACAGAGACGGTCAGACGAGCCTGGAGGACGACAAGGAGGGGGGCAGGATGTATTAGGATGATTTAAAGAGTGCACAATGACGAAACTTCCCTGTTAGGGAAGAATAAGTACTAATAGGTGGAAAAGTGACTAAGTTTCTACACGAGTTCATAAGATGTAAGAAGGGGTGGATGGTGAAGATGCACAGCGGCTCAAAATTTATTTGGACACTTATGACCCATATGTGACCCTGGACCACAAAACCAGTCATAAGTAGCACAGGTATATTTGTAGCAATAGCCAAAAATACATTGTATGGGTCAAAATTATCGATTTTTCTTTTATGCCAAAAATCTATAGGATATTAAGTAAAGATCATGCTCCATGAAGATATTTTGTAAATTTCCTACTGTAAATGTATTAACTTGATTTTTGATTAGAAATATGCATTGCTAAGAACTTCATTTGGACAACTTTAAATGCAATTTTTTTGTGCCCTCAGATTTTCAAATAGTTGTATCTCGGCCAAATATTGTCCTATCCTAACAAACCATACATCAATTGAAAGCTTATTTAAACAGCAAATGATGTATAAAAAATTGACCCTATATATGACTATATGACCCTAGGTTTTGTGGTCCAGGGTCACATATATAAAAATATATGAATACCATTGCTTTAGCTAATTTATATATGTACAATTAAGCTGCCAACATAAATATTATATATAGTGAGAGAGACAGGAAAATGAACAATTATACAAAGTATTTTTGTGAATTGTTCAAAATGGTTTTAAAATGTTATATATTTGCAAATTTAACAATTGTAGAAATTATTTTTTATTATACAGTTCACCTTCTGGTTTTCAAACTTGTTTTACTTTGATAATGTATTATCTAATGAAATTAAAGGTAACACTTTATATTAAGGTGTCCTTGTTACACAAGTTACATTAACTTACTATTATAATAATAATAAATTATGCATAATTACATGCAAGTAACCCTAAACCAAACCCTAATCCTAACCCTAACCATATAGTAAGTACAATTAGTTAAAGGGGTCATATGATGTTGCTAAAAAGAACATTATTTTGTGTATTTGGTGTAATGCAATGTGTTTATGCGGTTTAAGATTAAAAAAACACATTATTTT